CAGGTGAGGCCATCGTCGTCGGAGCCCACGAGGCGAGCCGACGCCGGTGGGTGAGAGTCAGAGGACATTGTGATGGTAGGGAGGGTGAAGCTTTCGCACACAGGCACGGGGCCCGAGAGACGCAGCGCGGGGCAGAAGACAAGGGGTGGGCGTCGTTGGAGTTGCGAAGAAGGCAGAGGTTGCGAGCGACGGCCGGCAAGAAAACTCGTTCTCAGAGCTCCCCTGGTCAGGTCAGAAGCTACCTCGCAATCATCTGCCTCAACAGCAATTGAGGGGAGAGGGAAGGTTGGTGAGGAGCGGCGAGTGTTGGAGGAGGAAAAGACGAAAGCGACCGAAGACGTCGACGACGGATGCGGCTTGACTTTTTTTTTTCACTTTTTCGGCCTACTACGTCGAGGTACCTAGGATCCATGCTTCTAGGGTGCTCCCCCGCCGCTGTTGGCACCGGCTTACAGGGCCCTACGATTGGTCAATTGCTGGTGGGCTCGCCCCAGTGCGTCCAATCCAAGCGATTCAGGGGACTCATGCAGGGCACTAAGGCGCCCCGCCAAACGCCTTGGCCGAACCTCTCCACGACTTCGATGATCTGGAGGGCAATGATGAGTGAGACGCTGTGCTGAAGAGGGTGGGCGGGCTGCTGACTCTACCTTACTGTGCTGTAACAAGAGGGGTGGGTGGGTGCAGTAACTAGTCTACAGTGAGGTGGGCAACGAGATCAGCGGTCAGGGCCGGTGCCAGCCCGGCCAGGGTCACCTACATGGATGGCTGCCCGGATTGCTTTGGTCACCGAGCCTGAGAGGGATACGACAGTGGGTGGCGGAGGAGAGAACTCAGTAGATACGAAGTGAACGAGGAGGCTGGGATGGGAAGAGGTCAGAGTGAGAGCAATATCCGTAGAGATCAGATACGTGAGAGTGAAATGCAAGGTGAGTTGTGGGATACAGGCTCCTCTGTGTGGTGTCGCTCTAACACCACGCACCGTAGTATGAAATCTGCCCGCGAACCCTTCCGCAAGCCACCACATCTGTTCCCGTCCACCACCACAGGCTTCATCCTTCATTCGGCAAAGCCTGCGGTCTGACCTGCGGCGACACACTGGAATCCAGCCAAGCCGTCAACAATGCCCGTTGCCGTTGAGAAGCCTACCGCCGCCGGATCCTCCAAGGAATGGATCCATTACGCATCGCGTCCATCCCATTCTCCAACTAAAAGCTATAGGCGTACCTACTAAGGAAAAAATCGCTCCCCATCCGACGCTGAGCTGCAGAGAAGTTTTTTTCTCGTTTTCCCTCTTGTGGGCCAATGGCCGATCTTCCATTGGCGCTCTTGACAAGCATCATCCGAGATTCATAGTACCGCATGGAGAGGCCAAGGCGGAGGTACATGCGCCAGGAGCAGAAGCGTGGAGGGCGTGAGGCAACCGCGGTAATTCCCTTGGGCACGTCACGCGAGCCAGCCGTCTGCGTGTGCCTGCGTTGCCAGTCACCTACATTGCATATGGTTCATAGTCCTACAAATAAAATGGGACAGTGCAGTAGATAATTACAATAGGAATTCCGCACATGGGCAATGATTTGTTTTGGTATTTTTATCTAGTTTAGTCATGACAGGAGATAAAAATTCGCTCCCGTAAACGCCACTCAACCAGTCAGTCCCCTCTCCGAAAATAGTACCTTCTGCAAGCGCCGTTTTCCCATTCTCTGGTATCCAGCACAATACAACAACGATATCCCAGCATATCGCCTCACCCCGTCTTTTCATACCTGCCCACAATGTCTGGAATTCATGCCCTGGGACTGAGTTCCAACATCGGGACTTGGGCCTCGTTAACACTGATTCTTTAACATTTTAAACACGGCACCCGCAAATCAACATCCATCTCCCAAGCTAAAAATACCAAGTGGACACGTAGTACGAGCCCCATGACTTCGCGCCCTTCAAGCTCCCAGAGTCGCGGCGTCTATGAACGATCCATCATATATACACGCGGCCTCGGCCCTGGAGTTGAAGAAGTATGTTCACTATGAGGGCATACCCGGGTGATGCATCGCCGGCGCTGGCATGTTCGTCATTTGAGGCGTCCTCTGACCTGTCGGGCTACCCTGGTTCGCCATTGCGCTCATCGCGCCGCTGGGCTTCTGGCCCTGCGGTCCGCCTGTTTGTGGAGGCATGCGGTAGAGTGGCTCTTTCTTGGGGTCGAACCCGGGGAACACGGCCTGTAACCTTGTGTACAGGTCCTTGATGCTCCTGTCGCGCTCGTCTCGGTCTGCCACTGGGTCGATGTTGTTCTCAGAGCCATCAGGAGTCGCTGCTAGGGGCCGCAGCTTGAGAGAGAGATTCAGAGGAGGGGCGCTGAGATACGCCGGGCAGGGAGGCGCCTTGACCTCGGGTTTCCTGTCCGCCAAAGCTGCCATATATGAAAGATTGGCCTGTAACCTCCGCATGCATCTACATCTCATGTTAGTGTTGTTCTGCAGTCTGCCCGGGAATTGACGTACTGAAGATAATCTTGTTGGAATAAAGTCTCTTCCTCTGTTAGCTTCTTCTCCCCTCCATTGCCATTGCCATTACCCTCGGCGGCATGTTCCTTTTTCAACTCTTGTTGCGTCGCCTGGATCTGGATCGACTCGTACAGCAGTTCGTGGTTGATGTCCAGTAGTAGAGCAAAACGTTCCTTGTCTCGTGATTCCGTCCCAGGGCTCAAAGGAGTTCCCCCAGCCGAGCCTCCGTTAACGGTCGGTCCCTGGTTCACGGAGAATGTCGGGGTCTGCGGGGTGGACACGCCAACCGACGGTTGCTGCTGGTTCGTCGGGGTCTGTCCTTGTGATGGAGGTTGAGGTGTTGAGAACTGTCCCGGTTGCGAAGGCGGCGCATTATTCGGCGTGCCCTGGGCTGCGCTTGGGGGTCGTTGGGGGGTTCCCACTTGGCCCATTGCCGCCGGGTTTGGAGGTTGCTGTTGTTGTTGCGGCTGCTGAGGCATGCGGTGCATCATCTGAGGCTGCTGAGGCATTCCTGCCTGGTTCAGAGGAAAGCCTTGCATGCCACCAGCCATCATATAGTTGGGGGCAAAGCCCTGGGGACCGACTGAGGAGGGGACTTGACCGTAGGGCGTGCCAGGGAATTGCGGTTGATATCCTGCCACTTTCACTAGTAAGCAACTGTCGGCTTCACCATGCGCTGGTCGCGTGTTTGTCCCACAGCGCGCTCGGTGTCAGGCCTTCCCCTCTCATGGAAGGAAGACGGTGTCCATCAAACGGCTGGGTAGCAGAGTCGGCGTAACGACTCAACCAAGATCTGGGCGTATTGAAGCGCGCCGGGATGGGCATGGGGCCGGAACAAAGAGGGCGACTTACTATGTCCATTGGCGGCCATGTGAGGCATGGCGGCGTTCGGCATTATTCCCGCAGGACCGCCGGGCATCATCTGGGGGTTCGCGCCGGGGGCAAAGGGAGCCATGCCGGCGAACTGTTGCTGCTGGTTGTACATGACCTGCTGGCCGGTCGGTTGATTTCCAGGCTGCTGTGGGGCGGCGTTGTTGAAGGAGGGAGCAGCATTGTTGGCAAAGCCATAGCCGGCGGAGTACATGGCGGCAGGGCGGCGCTTGATCGCGGTAGCAGCGGAGGGAGCGAGGGAGCGAGGGAGGACGCGCAGTGCGGTACGGAGGGTGTCAGCGGCAGTGGCAGGCTGCGACAGGCTGCGACAGGCGACAAGCGACAAGCGACGGGCGATGGACGGTTCGACGGATGGGCGCGATGGGCGCGATGGGCGCGACTCGGTCGGTCGATTCGATGGCACTCGCTGCGCTGAGCTACCGTATGAATGGGTCGGTCGGGGTCGGGATCGGGCTGGGCAGACACACGCTCAGACAACGGGCGAGGGCCTGGGGACTGTGGACGCGGGCCGGGATTGGAATCGCAGACCTGAGAGACGACGTTGGGCGAGGTTGTGTGGGGCGATGAGGCCGGAGGTTGACCGCTTCCGTCACGGCTATTCGACACCGAGGACGCGGGCTGTGTGCGACCAGGTGCCGCCCTGCATGCAACGTATCAAGTATATCTCGGCGCCCGGTTGACACTTCTTGACTGGACAAAGCACAAAGCCCAGCGCACAAAGCACAGAGTGATAAGTACAAGGTTGACGCTCCTGAGCCCTGGTCCCGGGGTACGTAGTGTGATCGGGATTCCGGTGGCCTGCCTGCGTGGCCCGAGGATGGTGGCGTGCGACCGTCGCGACCTGGTGTCGCAATAGTTTTGATTTGACTAGGCCCAACGGTAATGACGATTGACGGCGAGCAATGCTAGGATCGTGCCAGGACAGCGCGGCTAGAGTGAGACGAGCGGCTGTCGAGCGGTGACGCGTTTATTCGTACTATGGTCAAACGTTGTCAGAGTTGTCCGGCAATTGCTGTCTTGTTTGATGTGTTGGCAAAAGATGAGGCTCACGCTTTGGTCAACGGCTGGGGAATTTTCTTTTCTTTCACCAGCCAATAGCGCTAGCCTATCCAAGAGCACCACAACAATTGGTCGAGGGGTAATTACATCAAGGCCTTTGAGTTACATTTGAGACATGCATACCCATTCAGGTGAGAGGCATGACTTACAGTGTGTCATGCCAACCTTGCACGTCGAGTCACTTACAACATGTCGCGAAAGAACAACATGGAAAGAGCAAAAAGTAAAGGTCACGGTGGGGCTCGAACCCACGATCTCCTGATTCGTAGTCAGACGCCTTGCCATTGGGCCACGCGACCGGTGATTTCGTTGAAGAACTTGCTCGATTTTGCATACCATATTGTGGGAACTAAGCAACAAGCCAAAACAAAAAATAACAAGTCACTGTATAGAACGTACAATTTCTTGTTCAATACCAGACAGCTTAATGGTTTGAGTTGTCACAATAGTTCATAGATCGATAGTTGCTTACTAGGTTGTTTACCTTGTGTTGCTGTTCTGATGATCGCCCGGATGTAACGAGCATTCAGACGACAGAGCAAAAAGAGAAGGTCACGGTGGGGCTCGAACCCACGATCTCCTGATTCGTAGTCAGACGCCTTGCTGTAGATTGTTAGTTTTTGAAGTCATTGACAGAGGGAAATTGCTTACCCATTGGGCCACGCAACCGGGTGGTTTTGATGAGTTTAACGGCTCGACTCTGTGCTCTATGTGGGCATGGTACTTGATGTGGAGATATTGGACGTACGTACTAGTAGCCGCGGGGCCGCGGGGCCGCGGGGCTTGTCACGTGGGCTGGTTCCGGAATTACAGCCGTGACATGAGCTTGCCTTACCCTAGAGAGCCCTTGAAGTAGGAAGTGCGAAGTTGAAGTTTATAGCATCGTCAATGAGTCGCCCATGGAATGTCGAGTTTAGGAATACATAGTTTCGGAGTGAGGGCGGCCACCGAGAGCCTCCCAGCCCGCACACTCGCCATACCCAGACGTATCAGTGCAAAAAATAGTGGATAATTTCCAAAGACTCACAGTATTACAGTTCTAGAAAATTCTTCAGACCTTTCTACCAGGTGCGGAGCAGGTTTCCTGCTGAATATAAGTTTTTTTAAAATGAATTCCTGGAGTGGTTGAAAGAAGACTGTCCATAAGGCGATCCTTCAGCAAGGACACATTTTATGACTAAGGCAGAGAGTTCATTTCCAAGAGATCAGTCAAGGTATTGCAGGCTCTCTCCGGGATTGGTGTTAAAGTTATGGGAAGATGAGTAATGTCATCATTATGGATATCGCCGAACTGTACTTGCTACCTCTCTCGACTGAATATCTCCCTTGTCAGCCGTGGAATAATGGCTAAAACGCCTCCTCCAGGCGCCTATATAGCACAGCGACAGCACTAACAAACATAGATGGTTGAAGCAAAATGAACAATTCGTGCAATTCCACAGCCAAAGTGGTAGCCATGTATTATGTATGGGGGAGGGAGAGAAGGGAGGTTGTTGAAACAAGGTTTGGGCTATTCAGACAGAACCTTTTATGACTCCCATAGATCTTATACATATAAACGCTCGTTTGGGCGAATGCCTTCCAATGCGAGCACCTCTAGTTATCACTTCTTGGCACGCTTGCGCCCGGCTCGAGGACCGTCGCTTGGTGCAGCTCTCTTGGCACCCTGCGAAGGCGTAGGTGCTATAGTCATTTCTTTGCTGGAGCCAGCATTAACTGACTGTCGTAGACCCTAACGGGGAGAGGGGTGCGCGCGACCTTGGTCGGGACAGGTTGTTGGGGGTTAATCGAATATCCACATCGCTATCGTTTTCCTCCACATGCTCATTATCCTCAGGATCAGTATCCTCTCCATCGTTGCCCGCTTTGTCTTTAGGCACAATTTGTTCGCTTAGCGCCTTCTTGACGCGGTCAAGAACAGCTTATATTACTTGCTGTTGCTTTATGAGGAGAGTAGGGTCTTTTCAACAGGACTGACAATCGCACCAAGGCTTCGTCTTCCGATGCAGGGGGGCAAGGTAACAAGGTTGGGGTACTGGTAGGTTATTCTGAACTCTGGGTTGAGGCTGGCGATCTCGACGTCTCAGGGAGGGGAATTATGGTGTGGGTTTCTACGGAGTGAACTTCCTATGGCAAGTATGATTCAGGTATCCTGACACCGCCAGGCGTCATTGGTAGATGTATCTCAAAACAAACTTAGGTCAAACGAAAGCAATAACGGGGATGTTGGATTCCAGAATGTGCATAGTTTCCAGCCAGACAGGACTGGTCCAGGATACTGGCGTGGTCGCCCAAAACCTTGGTTCTTCATCACTTGAACGATCCAGCTGTGTCTCTCTTGACCCTCTCAGCGAGAACCCTATGCACCTTCTCCATCCAATCCATAATCATCGTGCCGATTTGGGCGAATGGTGCAGCTTGGCTGGACGCCTAGTGCTGTTGATGGGTTTGCATAATGATCGTGCTATCTCCACAATGGAGGCTGTGGCAGTCGTTAAGAAAGGTTGTTCCTCGGGGGTCGCATTGAGCACGCTGACTGCAATAAGGGAGAAGATATGGCCGAGCTTCTTCATCCTATCAGTATGGTAGTCCATTTTGCTTCTACCGACACTCTCGCGTTCTACCAGCCACGAGTAACGGTTAAAAGGCTGATATCAGTAAGCCTTAATGGCCTCGTAGATAATCTTTCAACTAACTAACCGTAGCCCAGTCAGGTGCGTGCTGAATCTCCGATGCCTTTACGGTGAGTTAGAACAAGCAACATCATGCCAAGGTCAGAGTCTTTGTCGCAATTATATCAGACTTGTGTCATTAATGAAAGTGAATGACAAGTGTTCTGGCAAGACAAAGCTTAACTACACGCATCACTCTCTCACCTACTTTACTGCTCTTTACGAATGCCAATTATTAAGCGCGAGATACGAGTGGTCTTGATGTTCTAGTGATGGGACGAGAATAAGTACGTTGGTTCAAGATGGAGGAGGTATTCACTTTAGTTCCAATGCGAAAGAGGGGGGACTTCAACCCTGCGTCTACCCTTAATTAACAGCGCGCATAGTTGAACCTCTCGTCAACTTAGTCTCTTCTTTTCGACAAATGAAGGGTCGTTTGTTCCTAGAACAACGAAAGCAATTACAAGTGCGAAGAGGAACTGATCCTTGTGAGTCTATTTTTTCGACAGGAATATGTTCTCGCCGCGTCTATGAAGTATGTAAGTAACTAGGGCAACCCCGGGTACAATGTTACAACAAAGAGGTTCGTCCACCTTCATTGATTTTAGGAGGCATGAACATTCAACCGGTCAACAAGCTGGAACGTGGACCGGAGGTCCTCTTTTCACTCCTCATGTGCGTATTCCTCCTCCGCCTATTCCTTCACCTCACCCTCCAAAGCAATCTGCATCTCGGGGTATAACGTTCTATTGCTTGGATTAATTCATTTCCCATTCGACCATGGTCTGGCATGTTGCTGCTGTCGCGGTAGTAATGAAGGAGTGTCTCCAGTTTTGGCCCAGTCTGGCGTGTTCATTCGTGGACGCTGGCACAAGTATACTCCAATAACGGCGTTTGAAACCATCAATCAAACAATGGTCGCGTGGCCCAATGGCAAGGCGTCTGACTACGAATCAGGAGATCGTGGGTTCGAGCCCCACCGTGACCTTCTCTTTTTTGGTGTTTCTAGCTTTTTGCCTCATCATCTCGTTATGCCTCATTATCCCTTTGACTGCGGAGAGGCAACACCTTGGCTTGGCGCCCCACAACACCCCTGCCGCGGCCGGGGTACACGACTGTGACTTAGAGCGCGTTCAGAATCAACACAGCCCAATTCCTCATACAACGCGTTCTTTGCATTCCCTATGACTTCCCAATTGCCCCCTAGCCAGGCTGTCAACGCATATGATGATGATAGCTTCATACGGGTTGACTATCACAGCCGCCGCGAGCAGCCGGCTGATAATACGTGCCGGCCAAATGAAAATCCGGCCCGGGATCGCGGTCACAACTTCAAGCCGATGGAACTTCCCAGCCGGGCCCCCGTGATAACGGCTCTACCCCAGACGCCGCTATTGCTTTTCTAGCATTTCCTACCTATTTCCCTAGTTGAAAGCTAGGTCAGCTATACTAATAGCTGGGTTACTTACCTATTGCAGCAGCATGAAGCTGGCAGCCGCAGGTTGAAGCCGCGGTCTCGGCTGTTGGATTAGAGGCCAACCTCTATTACCGAAATCTATATATAGATCGCAATCTCAATTTATATATAACTTAATATTAAGTATAAGATTGAGAGCTATTAGAAGGTTTCTAGGCTTAAGAATATAACTTCTAAGTATCTAATAACTAGCTAGATGCCTTATAACCAGTTCTAGCTATTATTATAGTATCTTTATCTTTTTAACTTCATAACTATTAATAGGGGCCCTAACCTAGCCTTCTTTAGCTAGACCTATAGCTAGGTTAATGCTTAATCTAACTATATATAGTATGCATTTATAATCTTATAGGGTCTAGGTATATCTATTGCTATAGATGAGTGTATAGTCTGCTTCCTAGGCTGGTTACTTAATATAACTACTATCCCTAATAAACCTATCCCTATAGGCTTTAAAGTATGGGTTATGGCCTAATAGGGCTATTTCCTAAGGTGGATTTAGCACCGGCCGGGCTGTAAGTTTAGGCCCGTAGGGGTCCGGCCGGGGCGGCTGCCGGTATAGTTACGGTAAGCCCGGTAGCGGTCTCGAGAGAGAAGTCTGATTAAACTAAACCTAACCTAAGCTATGGTTATTGCCCTAGTAAATCTGCTGCCGGATTCTATATACCACATCTTTCTTAATAACCTATTCTCCTCTAATAACCTCTTCCACTAGCTCCATTAGCTAGGCTATAGAGCTATAGGCATAGTGTGCTATAACTATAGCTTATATACCTCTCTTACTAAGCTAAAGGCTACGAATAATACAGCTATTAGTAGCCTTAAATTTAATGCCCTCAAAGCTATCCCTATACTAGATAACTTAGTTAGTCATAAGGATATAATTATACTATATTTCCCTTACTAATTTATCTTTAACTAGGTTAATTAGATTATATAGAAAGATAATACCCTTATACTATTCCTATTAACCACATTTATAAGAGATAAAAGTGTGACAGTCGGGTCTATCCTAGAGGTATAGGGTAGGTCTAGATATAAGGTATATAATCAAGTGGATTAGGATATTATAGTAAGCAATATAAGTCACAGTCTAGTAATAATAGAATAGTAGATTTAATATAACTAAGTATATTAATAACTAAGGAGCTTAAGGCTCTCTATCTAATATGCTAAGTAAATATATATATATATATATTTAGGATCGCTAGATTATAAGGGTGATTTAAGTAATCCATAGTCCTAGATTATAATAAGGTTATAGTAATCCCTTTATAATTAGTAGCCTAGAGGGGATCACTAGATTATAGTAGTGATCTAAGTGATCCTTGTGTAATAGGCGGGGAAAAGTAGGTATATTATAGTTCTACTAGTTATAATTGCTTAGTTCTAGCCTAGGCTATAATATAATATCCCCCCTCTATTAGTTCTTATCCTAAGACCTATTAATAGGCCTAATCGGAATTTTCTTATAAGTACTCTTAACTTAGTTTTATAATCCCTTACTATTAACTATAATA